AGCCATGTGTGTGTGTTTCTTGTGTGTGTGGGGGGGGGGGGGGCGGTGTGTAGGATTTAGTTTGTGCAAGATAGACTCTGTGTGTGTTTGCATGTATGTTTATTTGAATTTTGGGAAGCAAATAAAAAATATTCGTTTCGTTTCGAATGTCTATGTACGTTTATATGTGTGTATGTGGTGTACGTTCATGTGTGTACGCTTATGTTAATACGTGTGTATGTGTACATTTGTGTGTATGTGTGTGTGTGTGTGTACGCTTAAGTTTGCGTGCAGTTGAATTTATCTCCTAGCAATTAAGAATGCATTCACCGTAAATCCACATCGCTGACATTCATCCAACAATGCTTCTAGAGATTTATGCCGACACACGTACGCACAACAACGGATACCGATACGAAATCATACCGAAACGATACGAACCCGTACCGAATACCGATACAAAATTGTATGTAAATTCAAACAAATTTTAGTTTAGGTTTTTAACTGAAAGTATCACATACCATACACACACACATACATACAAACAAGCAAACATACACACACACTCACATACATACATACATACATACATACACATGCATGCATGAGTACAAAAATACCAAATCGCCATATTTATCGACTTGGGCAGAATACCCAGTTGAAAAATAAAATGGCGCCTTCCGGTATCATATCTTTGGACCCTTAAAAATTTGTTGGCATAGTTTTTTGATTCTTTGGTTTGTTGTTGACGATGTTAAAATGTCATGAATTATTCTTTAAATTTCAAGTCTTCTACTGCTGCTGCTACCACTACTACTGCTAGAAGTAGCAAGTAGTAGTAGCAGTAGTAGCAGTAGTAATAGTAGTAGTAATAGTAGTAGTAGTAGTAGTAGTAGTAATGGTAGTAGTAGTAGTAGTAGCAGAAGTAGTAGTAGTGGATACACTGAACGCAATCTAAAAGTCAATAGTAGCTCAATTAATCTCACATCTATCTATCTATCGACTGACCAACAGTAATGTATGTATGTTTGTTTTTTGGTTTGTTTGTTTATTTGTAAGTTTATATGATACATACAAACACACATACAACGTACAACTTAATGTTTCAAACATTTAGCATGGTATTTTATGTCGAAACATACAAACAACATACAAACAAACACACAAACAAACACACACACACACATACAAACAAACATACATCCATACATACAAACATACAACATAAGGTTTCAGACATTCAGCTTTAGACATACAAACAAACAAACAAACAAACATACACACTCACATACAAACAAACACACACACAAACAAACAAACATACACCCATGCATACAAACATACAACATAATGTTTCAGACATTTAGCTTTGTATTGTATGTCGCAACATTACTAGCCTTGTTATCCGCAAATAATCTCTGGCTCGTTAAAATTTTAAAAGCTTCTTTTAATACACAAAAAGCATTGTATTTATCTGTATTCACATAGATAAATAAATGTGTATTTACATAGATAACTAAATGATATCTACAAAGATAAATAAATGGTATTTACATAGATAAATAAATGTGTATTTACATAGATAAATAAACGCTATCTGCATAGAAAAATAAACAATATTAACATAGATAAATAAATGATATCTATAGAGATATACAAACAGTGTAAATAGTATCTATGTTTATTTAAATTGATAAACAAATGATACCATGTATATTAACAAAGATAAATAAATGATA